ACAAAATTGTAATGGTTGTGAATTTTCCTTGAGCAGATTAATACATGTGAGACAGGTCATCCATCAGCAAACTGGCTGTGAGGAAAACTATGCAGATCTTCCTTCTATAACTTCTTTGGCTTCATGGTTTTGAAATGGCTCAGAGGATGTAGCTGATTTTGACTCAGAATGGTGGTCACTCACTTTACATACTATCTACTTGAAAGGCTGCATGCACAGAAATATAGTGTTGCTAACAAGTTTTCAGTAGCTTAAAATTAACCTCTGGTCCTTCAGGTAAAGCATGTTTTTCTAAATAGTAAAGTACCTTGAGATCTAAGAATTATAAGTCATGTCAAAATTTAAAGTTTGGCCTGTTCCTTCTACTGAGCAGTCCCCTAGGAAGGCTCAGTAATTGTTACCTGCAAAAAAGAACATTGGTATGCAATGTGTAAAAATACTATGTTGTGAATAATGACTGAATGCAGGTCAGTAATTTCATTTAAACTGATTACTTCAATTGTGGTTCTTCCACTAACGATGGGGAAAGAAAGGGTAATAATATGATCCAGGAACTATACCAAAATTGTCTAACCTCAGCAGGATGCAAACTTCACAGCAGTTGTGAAGGAAACATGGAAACCAGGAAAACCCAAAGGTGGTACAACTTTGCCAATTGCAAATCAGTACGTATGTGTGAGCAAATTTATTTCATTTAAAACGTCTGATCATCTGTAGACAGAAATCTGGGGGGAAAAGAGCCAAAATTAGCCTTCTCTGGTGTATTTGTGATGTATCTGGCATTCAGCAACACGTGAAACAGCCACGTAGGATGGGGAATAGTGGAACAGTAAGAAATATGCTGGCAGAGGTTAACAGCGTGGGATGCTGGCTTGTACTCGGTCTGGCTTGGGTTTATAATGGTGAACCTGAAGGAAGAGTTTTGCAAACATTCTTGTTTCATAGTTCTGTTAATGACCTTGGCGTTTAAAAATAGACACATCCTGATGAAACCAGCGGTCAGTACAAGGAGCGAATTCAAACGACTGAAGATTGATATAAAAGAAATGGGAGAAGATTGGAGAAGATAAAGCTGTTTTCTTAGAGACTGGCAGTAAGAATATCTGCTGTAGGCTTAGTGTCAGAAGCAACTAATATGAAAAAAATGTGTGTGTTCAGCACAAACTGAGTGTGAGTAAGCCATGAAAATGTGATTTAGAGTTTACTGGATAAGATACTTCCATTAGAAGTTCAGGGCTGTGCAAAAGCTGTGTGCAACTTGAATAACTCCTGTGGAAAAGGCATGCCATGTGAAAAAACGATATGGATGTACTTACTAGAAGTATAAAGGGAATGGAGAGATGATTGTAAAAGAATGGAGCAGAAGAAATTGGCTTGTTTGGTCTGGTAAAGCTTAGCAAAGAAGGGGGGATAAATTTGTGTGGATTAGACAAAAACTGAATGGGGCATACAACATAAAAGAAAGATGTTTAAGCTAAAGAATTGTATTAACACAAGAAGAAATAAGCAAAGTGGCTACTAATGCATTTATGTCAAAAATTAAATGCAAAGAAATTGTAACCTCGCTGTAAAGCAATGAGGTTAACTCCTGCTTGGAGTGACTACTTTCAAGTTACAACTCAGATTATCAAGGGACTTCTGTAGAGCAATAACTGCAAAACATGGGATTGTGCTAGAAGAATTAGAAAATCTTCCCTAATATTATGCTTATATGTGTGCAACAAAATAAGTGCTATTCTCAGTGTATTATCTAACAGAATTTCAAGTTCCAGCATAATGTGGAAGATAAGTGACTGATCAGGATGCATGCCCTAAGCATGTGTTAAGGAATTTTATGTGTGCTTTAAGTTTTTACTTTTTTACTCAATTCATCTATATGTATGCTTTTTCTGATTGCACCATAATCGATCTTGATGTAAGCCACCTTATTTTCACTTTAAGTTGACCATTTTTGCTGTCTTTAGGAGAAAAAGTGTATTTTTGTTGCCCTATAAACTATCTGCATGTAGGGTTGGATCAAAAGAAAATTGTAGATTGAGTTACTTTGGTTCTTGATAAATCGTAATTCAGACAAACCATATTCAAAACACCCTTGCTTGGTAGCATGCCACCTCAGTCAGCAGCCATCATAAATGGAAAAGATAGCAACGCTAAACTGTTTTGAAGTAATTCCCTTGGAAACGGGAGATATGGAAGTGGCCATATATCATAAGCAGATGGAAGAAAAAACACTATGGGGAAAAAAGTATCTGTGGTCTGGGAGCTTTTAGGAAGTTACTGAAGGAAACCAAAATATTTAGTCTGTTTTCAGGAAAAATGTACAATTTTTATTTTGCTAAGTAATATGTGTTTTCAAACCTCGTGTATGAGAATAACTGCTCTTCATACTTGTTCTGATGATGGAACCCCATGTATTTATAACCTTTAAGGATGATGAGGGCAAGCTACAAGGAAGGACAGAACCAGAATTCAAAGTGACAAATTATAAAGATGGCATGGAATCAACATAGTGAAATAAGCTAAAACTGGTGGCAATGGTTCAGTGGGAAAGGATTTTGGGGCTGATTGACAGTGAACACCAGTTTGTTATCAACATCTTTTGGGGAAAAAAAACTAATATTCAGGAATATGTGAACACCATGTAAGGAACATCAGCTTTCTTCAACACTGATAAAATTGTGTCTAGGTAACTGTTTCCAGGTGTGGGCATGGTTATGCCATTTAATCTTGCAGTGTCATTTAACTTGGACAGCCATAGTTAACATAGAGTCAGGGCTGTAGTTTCTTCTTTCCCTTAAGTTTGTCTGTCCAGCGCAGAATTTGTTTTCTCTAGTGCAGGCTGATTGTTTTGTTCACCTTTATGTAAGTACTATAGCCAAGCTTCTTTATTTCTGGGTGATTTCCACTTTGATAATAGCATCTAGTGTTGTGTTCTGGTTTTCCCCCTTTTTGCCAATCTTTTCAAGCAGCACTGTATTCTTTAACAAGTCCGTATTTTATATACCTTTTTCCCCAGCACCAAAGAGATTCCTTTATGTCCTTGTCTCCAGCTCTAACACTTTTTAAGAGCCTCAGTTTATCCAGTTCTCAAAATCCTGTGCTCTTTTCAGCAGTACCTTTCTTTTTAATCCCAGGTGCCTTTCATTTATCAGCTCTGTAATCTCAGCCTGTAAATATTTCCTGTTGAAGGCTTAATTATTTGACCTGTGTATCAGACCTCCTCTCCATTAGTTACTGAATCCTTGGCTCAAGTGCTCTGTCTTCAGAATTACATTTTCAATGTAAGTCTCTCTCCTTCACTTCCTTGACATTTGGCCAGCAGTTTGCATGTGAAACTGTATATAGTCTCTTTCCTAACATGCTATCTCTTTATAGTTCACAAGGTGTGCAGTGCTGAATAATTTTCCTCCCATTTTGCAGGTCCTTTTCCCTGTTCCTTGCTTTTAATCTTTCAATTAAAATAAAATAATTCTCTTTTCACTTTAAACTAATTCGTTGTATGGGTCTCTGTTGGCTTGTGGGGTACATGCTGAAATCAGAAGCAGTGACACACCAACTTTTGAGGGAAATGACAAAGACCGTATTTTACACCAAAAGCTTTTTTAATGCTTACAGCATTTCACATTAATCCCTTTATTTATAGACTCTGCAATTCCACTGACCTATGATGATGCTGATTCCTTATTCCCTCTGATTAACCTTGGATGATGCAAACATCTGCTGACACAGTCAGTGATTTGACAGAATTGAACTGACTCCCAGAGAACAACTATAAACCCCTTCCTGTAATGTCTTTGGATCTTATGCTTTTACTGGAATGGGAATAGTGAAAGGAGTTCAGAATTACTCAGTTCATACGTGCTAAACTGAAAGGGTTCCCCATATTGACAACACCACTGATTCATTCAAAGTACAGCTCCATGCACAGAATGTTAAACAGTATTTTATTTCTAAGCCTCAGGAGGCTATTTTATGCATAAGCTCAACAGCCAGCTTGTACAGAGTAAATGAAGTACTTCTGAATGCTTCAGTATGTTCTCTGCATAAGTTCTGCTTACCTGTCCTGGCAGGATATGCATTCTGGGCTGTTACTTGGAGCCAAATGTTGCCAGACATACCAGCTTCCAGACAGACAGCTGTATACTGCATTTACAGATGCTGACTGGGGGATGCCTTTATGTACTGATGTTAGATTTCTAATGTGTTATCTTCGTGTACTTTATCCTACCTTAAAACATCAAGGAACTGCCGTTTGATGTGACATTGTTATCATTTCACACTTGCAATGCCCACTTCTCTCTAGTTGCTTAGAATATGGTAGAAAAAAGATGCAGGATATTGTTCTTGGTAGTTATTCTTCATCTCCTCAGTAGCTTTTGAAACCACTGCCTAACTTGTGTCAGTTGTAGAGGAGAGTGAGCTTATAGGCACAGCAGCTGGTAAAGGAGGGACACTCTCCAAGTTGGCTCACTGAAATGCAGGTGAGATTGCAGTGAGTATTCCTCAGGCTTCATCATTTCAGAAAGCATTGTTGGCTCATGTGTGTCAGCTCACAGATCAGACCATATGTGTGCTACCCCTTGTCCTGCCAAAAAGATGGAGAGCTGCAAATACTTCAGTGGTGGAAAGGGAAGTAAGGATTAAGGAATATATTATGTATTGACCAGTATTGTGGCAGCTGAGTTATGGGGAAAAGGAAAGTCATGCATTTACGTGGGATTTTAATTACAAGGAGCTGTAAATTAAACTCGCTTCATCAAATGAAATGCAACATTATTTGATTATCAAATATTGGAATGTTTGTGGGGTTATATTAAAATGGATGGTTTGACAATCTACAGGTACCTAGCTCTATGTAGCAGGCTTTTCATTGTTGGATTCTGAAGCACTTCATAAAAAAGGATGTTTTTTTCCCTTCATGTAAGATGCCTTCCATTTTGTGTTGATAAACATAGGAATGTCCTAATGTAATGCCCTGCTGACAACTGAACACAATAGTTCTTTGGGTTTGTTTTTCCAGAAAGGCAACAAGCCCACTTTTGCAAATAAAATAAATGGAAACAAGGCTTTGAAGTTCAAAAATCTTCTTCTGAATAATTGGTTAGCCATGTGGCCAAGCACATGGACAGATTAGATGTTCATGAATTGGCTATAACATAAGCTTGGCTGATTGGCAGAACCTTCAAAACCTCTTCTTTAATGTGATTAATGGCAAAAAGGAAAGCTAAGCTATACTTCTGTTAAAGATCAGTTAAAAGATCCTTCCTTCTGTGCAGTGTCTGGAAGATCAGTTAGTTCAGAAAGCAGAAACTAGTACTTCATAGAACCGACATTTAGGAAATCTGAAATAAGAAGTTTTGTATTTCTCTTTGACTGGGTTGTCATTAATCGCTGCATTTTCCTGACCCACATCTCTGCCTTGTTTCACTAGCAGTGAATTGTGCATCCTGCATCTTTTATGACCCACTGCAGTCCTTTCCTGTGGAAAAAGTGCTTGCCCTGAGTGGCAGAGCATGTGTGCTGTATAAGGAAAGGGAGAGGGAAGGGTCAGGGGAAAAGGGAAAGAGAAGGTGGATCAGTGTTAAGGAAGAGCTCCTTGAAATTCTCATCACATTTCTCTGATTTACATTGATACCTACAGTGGAATCAAGCTTTATGAAAAGTCACCTTTGGTGAGTTCACACTAATAGAGATGTAGAGCTGTTAGCTGCAGCAAGTTGGCACATGCAAAGACTATAATTCATGGTGGGATTAAGCCTGAGTCAGTCATGTAATATGTGTAAAATATTCATTATACAGCAACTAATGATTTCTTGCCAAGACAGTCTGTCCACAGCCTGCCAATGTTGTTAAAGTTACCTGTAAGAAAGCAATTATGAACAGCCTCAATAAATGTTATGGATGTCAGTCAGAGAATCACAGAATGGTTCAGTGGATTTTTATCCACGTATGTATGTGTTCGAAAATGTAATGGCCTAAGGCTGCCGTGTTTCCGTTAAAATTCACATCTTCATGGACTCTCTTCTTTCTTACATTCTTTTTTGCTCAGCAGCTGGTGGAAATGGCAGAACATTCTGTATGTGAGGCATACTTTTTGGTGTTGCAAAATCATCTAGTTAGCCTTGACTGTTACCAAATGTCTTTATCAGATTTTGAGAAGGCCGCCAACTTGCAAGTGAAATACTGTACTTACATACACAAATCTTAATGCAGTAGAAATGCTTTAACTTTCTTTTATTGTAGCCTTCGTTAAATGTGTGATTTAGATGCTTCACAATAACTGGAAAGGAAAAGGTTTATTTCCTTGATTTCACACCCTTCAGTTAGTTCCCATGCTAAATACTAAACCCCTGCAAGAGCAGATATCATTTACATCTATATTTAGTAGGCTGCTTTTTTTCAGGTTTATCTAGAATCATCTCTCTTTTCTGTAATGCTGCAATAATTAGGAATTGCTCCTTTGTGTTAAATAAAACCCATGCAGCACTATCGTATGTGAGCGAATGAACTCTGTTTTTTCCTTCTCATTTATCAAGCACTAAAATCAAAGGTAAATCCTTTACTGTGGGTGGTTGTGCAATGGTAGAAAAGTCTTGCACTTGTGTACTATCACAGGTTACTGACACCAGTTCTTGTATTTCTTTGTACTTCTTGTATATTCTTTGTTACACAAATATTTTGCTTTAAAAAAAAACCCAGTAAAATAATTAATAATCTGAAAGCTATGAAATTAAAAAGTAGAGTGCCCTTGAATGATGCTAAATACTGAAGTATAAGGAGGGGCAAAAGAAAAAATAATCAGTCTGAAACAGGTAAATTGAAATGAGTGATAGTCATTAGCTTCAATTTTCAGATTCCGGCTGGATCATGTTATCACAGAATTAAAGCACCTTCTAAACTTCTGTGTTTCTATCCCTATGATCCTTTAAGTTTTGGTATTATTATACTGCCTTTCAAACAGGAAAAACATTGGACAGTATAACGCTTAGCACGGTAGTACTAAATTTTTCAGTATGTTTGTATTGAAATCCCTGGTTTATGTGCTTCCTCAGTACATAGGATGTATGAACAGCGTGATCAGAAACAACTCTCAAGAAACATTATCAGCTTTTCAAACTACTTTGAGTTGGCTTTGGATAAAGTTAGGTTTAGTATTCCCTTACCTTCTTCCTACTTCTGCTTAAAAAACCCACCAACATGCTGCTAGGGAGAAAAGGAAGAGAAAATTTTCCATTCATCAATGATAGCTAAAACGTTAACCTCTTTTTTTAATTCTCCAGCAGTTTCCTATTTATTTTTTTATATTTGCCTTGTGTGGTTTTATTATTGATGATGATGATTATTGTTAATATTATTATTATTTTATTATTAACAGTACAAGAATAGAAGCCTGGAACAAAAGTCCAGTGCAGTGCAACACTGGGACAAATATTCTCATTTCTACCTCTCTAGTGCTGTCGGCCAGAAAAGGACTTGCAGGTCTATGGGATGAGGAAGCAGTGCAAGTAGCCAACAGGAGGAAAAAGGGACACCTGACTTTTCAAATGGTTCACTTCCTATCTGTTTATGCTGAGGTATTTCTCAAGGCAGTAAGTATGGCTGTATCGATTAATCAGTTCCCTTTGTAGCTTGCCAAAAACTGGCACAAACCTCCCCCAGTCCTTAGTAATGTAAATCAGATGCAAAGTTTCTGATCCAAATAATGTGTCATAACTCCAAGATTTAGGAAATGGTGAAATTCTTCAAATTGCATGTTCAATTAATTTGGAATTTACCACTGCCAGTTATAACTGTAAGAAATATAAAAGTCATTGCTTTGGGTTTTAGTCCTTTCAGTAAAGCTGATGGGAGAGGAGAAGCGAAGAGGGTAAAACTATTTTCTTACTGCAAAGTAACTTTTCAGTTATCACCAGAATAACATTTCTGCATCATGTAAATTCATGCATCAGGAATAGTTACATGTTTCCTAAAGTTATTTCATTAATTCAGTCTTGCATTGCATTTTGATACATTTAAGTAGCATGATAAAATTGATTGATTTGCAATAATGAGGTTAATGAATCAGAATAGGTAGTGACAGACAGCTTGCAGGCTTCATGTTAAATCAGAGCAAGCAGAGACAAAAGAATGGATTCACCATCATGTGATTCTGAAATGACTTTGCCAGCAGAAATAAATTTCATTACTTAAATAGACATTTTATCATGCAAGATCAATCTGAGCTGTACTGATAGCTTTGTTTTTTTGTGTGCCTGAAAGATAGTGGATAATATGATCCTAAACATACTTCTACTTCCAACTGTCTCAAAGCTAGTTACATATGTTCCATATTAGAAAGAAAAATAGTAAAAGAGAGGTGGGTAGAAATGTTTGTTTATGAAGTGCAGGACTTGTCTTGTTTAGACTAGTGCTGAGTGGGTTGTTTTCCTCATGCAACATTCCTTAATTTTTACATATTTAAAGGGCTTTGTTTAGCCCAGCTAGAAACATACAGTCCTAGAAACTACAAAAGATGTGGGTAAGAGAGTTTGTTGAGAAAAAAACCCCAACAAACCACAACAAAAAGACCAAAAAAGAGAGAAGCCTATTTAAATAAAATTTCAATCTAAGTTTAAAAAACCCCAAGAACCCAAAAGACCTCTACCTAGTGAAACCGTTGTACTTTCATTAACTGGAATTGCGTGCAACAAGAAACATGGCAACATTTGTTTGTCTTCTGCTGAATACCATCTTAGCATTTTCCTTCCTTAGAGCAAATCCATGCCCATGGCATATTCTGAGATCTCTCTGCCACATATAGAAGCATAATAAAAATGTCTCTTAAAATTATCTACAAGATAATGAATACATCAGATTTAGAGCCATACTGGTAGGCAGTGGTACATCAGAAAAGAGAAATGTATAAATCTTCATGTAATACATGTTATTCAGCTGATAAAGCTATTCTTGTAATGACTGATAAAGCTATTCTTGTAATGACTCTGGTACACTTGAGCCTTCAATCGTTAGTCTTTGGTAGAACTAATATTGCCATTTTTGGATAAGAAAACCCTTTCTAATACATGACTGCAGAGTGGAGCATTGCTGCATTTTGGGTTAGATCCTTACTTGGAGCAAATGGCAAAATGAGGCAACAGAAGGAGCAGTAAAGATAGGTGATTCATTTATACTGAAGCTGGACTGAGACACAAATAATGTAAACCAGATTTTGTGATACTCTGGTTGGAGGGGAATGCACTGTGGAAAGAGGAATTTTTAGCTATCAGACAGTGGTTCGCATAGAATCACGAAGAACTTTAATGGAACAAAGAATATATAGCTTGAAAAAATAGTCCGGTTTCTTTTAGGTATCCAAAAGATGTTTGTGCCAAAGAAGCTATTGGAAGAGGTAATAGTGAGCCAAGAATAGGCAGAGACTTTGTGAACTTCTTTATGTAGAAATGAATAATAATAATAATAATAATAATAGATCTTGAGTAGAGTGGAAAGAATCTCTTATTGAGCTACAGACAAAGCATAGGATGATCTGCTTAGTGCAAGTTACACAAACAGTATTCTGAAATTCATCCAACTCTAATACTTGAAGCTGTAGGACATCAGTATCAGAATTTTATGATTAGGAAAGAATTATTCTGCTGATTAGTGCTGTGTAATTTAATAGTGATGTTTTTTGCAGGTAACGTTAATACTGAAGATGGGCAGCCGTAAGCTGGGCAAAGCACAGAGAATATGGAGTAAAAACAGATTGTTCCGGGAAACAGGACAGAGATCTCCATGCAGCACAGCAAATTTATATGCAGTCTGATTAAGGTAAAGCTCTTACACCCATCTAAAAGTGTTTTCTCAAATAAGTCACCTAGGTAATGATAATTCGGGAGTGTATGCGAGTGGAAGTGCTGTACTGCACTGCAGACATATGCAAGTGTAGGTATCTGACTGTTATCCTCTCCATAGTAAATGTGTCTTTTGCCTTCAAATGCTGAAAATGGCTAATATTCTAAACATCTCTTAACTCACGTACTCAATCATAAGTACGTCTGAGTTACTCTATGACTTCAGGACAACTGTTCATGCAGGAAGGGAGCCCAAAGGTAATGTTAGCTTTCTGTTGCCTTTATGGAGCACTAAATCCAGAGGAATGTCACTTATTGCTAGCTTTTGAGTGTCATATTTTATTGTAAATCTGTAGTGATCCTAAATTAAGTAAGAAAAAGAAAATGTCATTTTTGTAGTGGGATATAGAAAAATTTAGTCACCAGTGAAGCACGGGAAACTTGTTTTAATCATTCACATGTATCGACGATCTCACAAACCCCTCAGGGATTTTCAGACACGCTTCCTTATTGTTGGGAAACTTACTGTACTGTCTCCTGCTAACCCCACTTCAAACACAGTGCTTCAAAAATCAGTAATCAATGAAGATTTTACTTTAAAGACAAGCTTGCTTCCTATTCAGTTATCCTTAGCTCATAAAAATTGTGCTGACAAGTGGCTGAGTCATATCTTTTATGAGCCTGCCAAAAGCCACACAGGAAGCACAGGGAAGGAAGATATAAAGTGAAACCATGTGCACTAGCTCCACAGTATAACCAGATAACTGTTCAGAATACTACTGGTATGAATGTACATTTTGAAGCAGTAGGTGTCACAGTATGGATATTCATGCCTTGTGAAAGGGTCTGTTAGGCTCTTGGAAGTGAAGTCAGTGGCCTGCAGTGCTGCCATGGTGTCATTATCTGCTAGTCAGTTATGAACTCTAGGCAACTGGATTTCTGTAAGAGCATTAGAATAGCTCTCGGAGAAGAAGCAGGACAGGACTCTCTGAAGTAGATCACACACAGACTGTGAGCCTGAAGAAGACTTCAGCAAAGTTGAGGGTGAATGTTGATCGTGCCAACATAGGTTAACTTGTGAGTGGCATCTGTGTTGTGGTTCTTCCCAACTACATGAATAGAGATCTACTGTTGATAATTAAAGTGGTGCTGTGCTAGATACAGTTTTACTGTAGTTGCCTTCACTTCTTCCTGTGCATCTGAGGATCTGCAGCTTTCCCCATGAGATCCGCAGATGTAGCTTGCAAATTCAGATAATCTCTCCTGCCTCAACTTTTATTTCTCTTGATTATGCAATTGCTCACTGCATGTAATGAATTTAGTACAAAGTTTAGACCAGGATGAGAAATAGTATATATAGTAATGCATATTTAAATCTACAGGACTCCTTAAGATTTTGTGGTATAGCAAAGCGAGATGATCTTTTTAATAGACACTGATGTAGCCTATCTCCCTGCTGAGAGAACCACAAATCTGCCCCCACACATGCCTCACTATGTTCCTCCAGCAACAAATAACTCATCACAGAAGAGATAAGCAGCTTGTCATGTTTCTCATTTCTAATAGTCCCCCTCTGGCAGATCTCAACATTCCTTTCAAATCATACAGTCAAATAGCGTATCGTAGACAAATTGTTCTCAACTTATATTTCATTTTGATGTTAGAAGTTTCCATTTGTAAATAGATACATTTTATTTTTGTCCAGCAGGATCTGTAGCAGGTAAGAACGCATGTGAGCCTTAACTCTTACAGTTCCTTATGCTGGACTACTTACCTGTGTAACTCTAGTATCAACAGAAGGTTTTTAAGGGTTAAGAGTATTGAATGACTTTGTCTTCTTTCAGTGCTAATAAAATGCTTCTAAAAAAAATGTCCAGAACAAACAAAACCCAAAAGAACAACCAAACAAAACCTATTCAGTGACTATATGAATGCACGCAAGGGGTTTGTCAGCCACTGAATTCAACTCGTTCACAACAAAGCTGAGGTAACTTGAGGGGGAGGCTGGTTGCTTTCTGTTCTTAATGAGTTGTCAGAGATCAGGATCATGAATATCTCGACTTTTCTTTTCAATCAATTTTATGCTTTTGTGACTGAAAACACCCTAATATTTTAAAATTCAGAAATTAAAAACCAGTATGAAATAATTTCTCAATAGAAAGTTAGGCATTAGCTGATGTCTACATTTTTATTGCATTTTTTAACTTTCAGCATATATGTCACTGCAGCTGATAACTATTTATGTGTATAGATACACACACAACACAAATCCTTTTCAAACACTTCAGAGTCATCTTGTTCTTACCTGGCTTAGTAAAATTCCAGGCTTAACCCATGTTGTACAACGGAATACCTTTAGCTCAAGTAATCTTTGCCTTAAAAGACATCTGCAAAGAAAAGTCTGCTTGCTTTGTGTCAAAGCTGTCTCAGAGAGAATTTCAAACAAGACTCAGAGCTAATGAGCCTAACAGAGACCTTGTGGTTAATGGTGGGTCTTTGTGGCTGAATCTGTTATCTACTAAAATGTATTTATGTAGGCTTTTACTGTCAGTTCTTTCATGAATCAAGGAACTGAACTGTCTGTCTTTGAAACTAAAACTAAAAGCTTCACACAACAAAGTATATGTTTCATTCAGAAACAGACTTTATGCTGAGCTTGAACTGTCATTATTGACAACTCTCTTTGGCAGATAAAGGGGAAAGAGAATATACTAAGGGCATTTTAGTGGCACATTCACACATACACAGCTGAGTAACTCTAGGATTCCAAAAACCAGTTTAATTTTGATTTTTTGAGCAAGGAAAGCCCCTTTTCCATAAAGAAAGAACACTTTCTGCCTCAGTGTTGCTGTTACATTATAATTCCAACTCTTTTTCCGTAAAAGACAAGGAAAGGATAATAAAAAATTCACAAAATGGTCAGATGACACCAGTGGCATGCCAATATCAGGATGTCTTCAGTCAGTCAGTCCAGTGGTCAGGGCTATCCTGTTTATGCCAGCCATGAGACTACAATGCAAATAGTTTTCCAACATGTTGAACTGCCAGCATACATTTCTCATCCTAGAAATGGTTTAGTGCTGTCCTCCAAGGTACAGCATAGCTGAGAAGGTTCTTAAAACTCCCTTAGGACTGCTCCTCTTCTCTGTTTAAATGCTCCTTTACCCATGGGTTCTTTATTGGTATCACTATTGCCAGATCATAGTAATAATCTGCTCTTGGGTCAGAGTGTAGTTTCTTTGAATCGACCTCAAACATGTGTCCCAGTTGTGGCTATTAAGTCCCTGTTGCCTTTGCTTCCTATTCTGTTCATCAAGTATGTTCCTTTTTAATTGTTTGCTAAGAGTACTAGCAATAATTTTGAGAGGAAAGAAATATGCCAAAGATCAGGGCAGCTGATGGTAATGGATTTAGTTATCACCTCAGCTGAAAATACATGAGATGCAGTAACTGGCATCTTAAATATTTCTGAACAAAAAGTCTTCCAAACTAATCGCTTACAGCCAAGCTATTTCTTATGATTCCTTTTTTTCCTAATTCAATACAAGAGAATAAAACCATTCAAAATTGGTTTATCAAGCTAAATACTAACTGTTGTTACACAGATACATGCGTATCCAGTTGCCATGTAGGATGTTAGCACTACATGTTCCTATTTAAGTATCTGTTTCTATAAGGCTGTTAACACGGGCTTCATAACATTTTTTAAATGGAAAAGCTTTTTGCTGGATCACAAAGAACTTCCAAGGGACTCAGCCTGTTGCAAGGTTTCAACCCTCTCTGCTCTTCCATGGAAGCACTAGCTATTTAAATATAAAGTTGGAAACATTTCTTATAATGTTTATTTCCTCCCACTGACTTTTATGCAGTAGATTTACTTTTGTACTTCGAACCAAGCTGGGGAATACGGGACAATAGTACCACAAAATGAATAGTGGCAGGTGTACTGTAAACTGAATATTTGAAAGAGAATCATGTTTCAGAGTCTGACCCAAGAACCTGACCTTTTTATGGCTAAGCTTTGGAACATTTCACCCCTAACCAGGCATGAGGCCTGTACAATTAGGCATGAATGCTTAATTTCATAGGAGTTAAATGCAGGTTTAGTAGCTGTTTTAAAATGAAGCACACAGATGAGTTTAGGTAGCATTTCATACTCCAGCTGCCGCTGTGGAAACCAAAAATGAGTTTCTTTTATGTTAGCACTTTATGGTGCTGATTTTTTTAAGTCCTCAGTTTTCCATGCAGAAAAGCTATAAGGAACAATACCACAAGGAACAAATATACTTGAAACTATTTTTGATTGAAACCAGACTGAGTTATTGCATGAACTAAGTTGTAATTGGGAGGGTTTTCTTTGTGATTTTGTGATACTGTGAGTAGAGGTACTGTGAAATATACATCTCCCACATGGCCATTAGGCATGGAACAGGGTATGATTTCTGTAGGGGAACCTCAATATGTCTGATAGATTCTCTGATACCTTTTTTTATTTATAGTAAGGAAAATGCCTGTTTTATTCATGCTCTTGTCTATAAAGTTTTTCAGGGCAACAATGAATAGGTTTTCATCCCTATACATCTTTAAAAATCAGAGAGAAAGTACAGCCCACCACTGTGTGTTATCTGTCATACTAAAACTGAGAAACCCGTTGTCCAGGCATAACAGGGCTTCTAAGTTGTGTTTTCAAAGTTGTAGAAAAGAACATCAGCTCTCCTTTCTTTGGCCTTCTGGGACTTCTCTTGGTCCCATTCTGCTGCTGAGTCGAATAATGTTGAAATGTTCTGGTTTTTGCAGGCTGGTAAAGCCATTTCCTGCTCAGTTCCAGCCTCTAACTTTGTTCATTGGAGATGATGCCCCACATGTTCTCTTGGAGGAAAGATCACTAATGTATTAAGAACAGTCTGGCGAGAACAATGTATCCCTTTAACCAGTGGCATATGCAGTTTGTTGTTGTTGTTGTTATTATGTTGGAAG